ATAAAGAGGCTTTTGTTCCGATGGGTACTCAAGTTGTCTAGTCGTTGATTAACCGGCGGCACACGCCACCACTACAAGAACGTTCATGGCAAGCAGTGGTGTTGTTAGCCTGGCGTGAATTCTCGGTATGCTCACTTCTTTCTATCATTCATCGCTTTATCGCTCCATACTGTTTTCTGATTTGGTATAGTAAACCGGAAAAGCATTAGGTTCACGCTCCAGCCCTTCTATCATTGTCCTCTTTTTCAATTCCTCTCCTTGTGACAACGACTAGTTATAAAAAAATTACACATGACAAGTATGCGATAATATATGTCGGCAATCTTATGAGCAAATGATCGAAGCAGTGAAACTCTGAAGACTGCTGAAGTGTGCCGTGCACACACAGCTCACTGTAAAAAATGTCTTGTGCAAAGTACATGTTTGTTGCCTCGTGTACTGCGCCTTGCATTGAGGAGATACAAGTTCATGATGTGGGTAATACACATGCAGTATTCAATGATATCCTTTCACTCAGAGACAACAGTGTCGTTTGGCGAAGCGTGCTATAACCAGCCGCGCTTTTTATTGAGGGGTTGATAGTGCGCGAAGTCTTACACGAGCTATTCCAGCATGAGACACACTAAGGTCATTATTCTGCTGGGTGGCCAAGTGAGAACTTGTAAGGGGTCTGCGCATGTTACCTTTGCACGTACAAACTACTAAGGCTTTCCAGCATCTGTTGGAGACATATCTTCGCAAGGTGCTTGTTTGAGTGGGTGTTCCATTGAACGACTAAATATCACAAACTTAAGAGAATGCGACCCACTCAAAGGGAGACAAGAAAATGCAACACACTCAAAGGCAAGCACTTGTGTCTGTCGCTCTCTCTTGTCTCTCGTATCTGAAGTTTGCGCTGTTTTGGAGTTCTATTACAGCCTGTGTTTATGACGCCTATGTGAGAGCTCGGATCTATTGTGCTACAACAGCTCGGTTTTATTGCTTCAAAATTTATTGCTTAGGTCGTTTCCTCAATTTTGGTTTTTACTTTTGTGGAGCAATTTTTATGAAGCTTTAACCGCTCCACAATGATTTTGGTATTACCTTTTTGTTTAGGTTTGTGGGTGCTGATGCTTGAAGTAAATACTTCACACCTATTATTTTCCTGTTTCGCTCCTCGTGGTACCTCTAGCGCATTGGGCATAAATAAAAAGCCTGTACTCATGTTAACTAACGCAAAAAGCGCATGAGAGCGTCGAATGTTCCCAGTTTAATTTATTGTGAAAAAGTGGGCTTTTGTGTTTTGAGGTCTTGTGCCATATCGACGATGCTGCAGTTGAAACATTGTTTTAAAGCGATAGATGCCACGAAAGAAGAATGGGACGCAATGCGAAGGTTCAACTAGAAAGGTGTATCTTTTGAAATAATGTTTCGTTTTAAACGGGTGAGCTGCGTAACCGAGCCCTAAGGCCATAGTGTGGCTATGTAAAGAGAAAGTCGTTAGGCTGTATAAGTAAAACTACTGTACCAAGGCACTGTGTATTCTGAGACGCTATGAAAACGCTAGAATGTATTTATTACACTGTACACAAGTCGCCATAACCACCGTTCAAATCTATTTTCAGCCTTCCTCTAAGAGAAGAGAATTAGCGCATCACGATTCTCCAAAATGGCGTTGCCTCCAGCTGTTGCGAAGCTGATGATCCTTGCAATCGGGACGAGCATGTGGATCTGGATGGAGGCGTACGTCAAGGTTCAAGTGGCACTTCACGGTACAGCAATACTTGAACCCCACCGGAGGAGTGAACCACCAGAGCTGAAGGCTATTGAATTTGGTCAACATGCAATCGCGAACGTGAACGTACGTTGTATATACTTCTTCTTGGTATGAGCGGATCTCGGTACAGCAAACGATTTAGGATACCCAATATTGAATAAAATCAAGCTAAGAGTGGCCTTCCTAATGAGCCTATATTATGGCTGTTTAAGCACTGGTCCGCTTTGAGCAATTATATCAGTTGCCAGTATCACAAAACACAAAAGTCGCCACCTCTTGTAACTCGAAAACTCATTTCAGAGTTGCAGCCGCTAGTGCTATATCTTACTTTCGCCACGCTAATCCTCCCCACATTGTTGTTTGCTTTAAAGCGATTTTCGCGTCATGCTTTGGCATCTTGCTTTTTGTTCGCGATTATTCCCCTTTGTACAAGGAAAAAATAAATATCATAAAAGAGTTTCATGTGAGAACACGTCCGAGCACAATAATTTTAATTCATTTTATCACCGTAAACGGGATGACAGGCTTATCTGAAATTGTAATCGTCCACGAAGTAAACTGCGAAAACATGAAAGAAAGCTGTTTTTAACTAAGCGGAAGTCGCTGGATGAGAGTTTGGTAAACTGTGTAGCAGGCACAATGGAACAGTAGGATCCTGCATTACATTGCTCTTCTTTCTGTGACTGCATTTCTCAAGAGCTAGAAAGCAGACGCTTGCCACGGGTTTCTGAGTAAGGGCAGCACTATATATTAATCTTGTTCACTGAATAATGTTTTGCCCGCAGCACAGATCAACTAATATTATTATAGCTGATAACGTATTCTGGCTCACAGCGCGAGAGACCCGCACTTGGACTAGAGAAATGGACACGGTACAGCGCTGTACCACGCCTTTTTTTTAGTCCATGTCCGGGTGTCTCGCGCTGTAAGCCACGGTGAATCTTCATCAACTAGCTCAGTTTTCTATCTAGCTTAGTGTCTAATGCAGTTAAGAGAACTATGCTAAATAAGGGAAGCTCTGTTATGAAGAACACTTGAGCAGCATCAGGCCTATAAGCGTTTAACGTGCTCTGTTGCTTCAAAATGATCCAAACGCTAATTAATTAAGACCAACACCTTCCATGAATGCTTCTCGACAATGAGAAGTCCATTGAAGTTCCTCCAAACATACCTAGTCAGGGTCAGGTGTACACTAACTTATGCATCGTGAGTACCTTAGTGGTGGCTCTCTGCCGTTTGCAAGATCGTCGGCAGCAGATAATAGCTTGTCGATAGGTAACGCTAGTCTGGGAAGAAACTGTGAACTAGCGATAATTCGGCGTGAATTGCTGTCGCGCTGATGAAAGTAGGAGATGTATTATGCTAATGCTGTTCGTTACGTTTTAGATAAACACAATTTTTATAAAGAAGTTACAACTTTGCCACACAGGCGATGCAATGAACGCGATAGCAACAAATTGGAAGGTCATACACAGAATGGTAAGTATATCGAAGCGTTCTCCGCGTTTCTAATTCACAAATAACGCACGAAAGGTACTCACAGGTATTGATGAACGCGAATAAGCGTCCCAGCTGTTATTTGCTGCGTCTGAAAAGCGCGCTCTTTCCGCAAACGAAGACTGTGCAGCGATCGCAGTGACCTTTGTGCGCCCTGTAACTGCAACAGAATCGTTCCGGCGAAACCCAAAGGCCATTCAAGACGTATGATTCTCCCCACCGTGAGATAAGGGCACGCGATCGAGCGTCCTCACCCTCCTCTCCGCGGGGCAAAGTACGCATGGGAAATGAGAGCATGGCGACGCTCATGACGACGTTGTGCGTGCGGTCAAAGCGCCATCTTGCTGGCAATGCTGAAACACGATATCCCCCCCCCTCTCCAAGATTCCCGACACCAGCGGTAAGCGGTAGATATAAATAGCGTGTCATTTTAACATTGACGGATGTGCTTCTATGTAGCCCAGGGGTCAACACCTCGCACTCACGTCTCAGAAGTTCCAAGTTCGTTCCGGCGCGCAGGAGTGTTTTTCTGGATTTTTTTCTTTCTTATGGTTTCATATATATAGATACGTATGAACATACGGTGAGTGACGGCGACGCCAACGTTGACGCCAAGGCCGGTGGCAAAATCAAGCCGAGAGTGTTCATGTAATTGCTGTCGCAATAAAAGTATACTGCTCTGCAGGGTATTGCGATGCATTATATTCACCATGGGCCTCAAACAGTAGAGAACTACCCCGAGTATTATCATAGATCCTTTTCTTGGCAATTTCCTGCTTAAAAGTTCGATAGATCTCTAGTGCGGCCTTCTTAATCATGCCAATTTTCCACATGTCAGTCTCCGTTGCCTTCACTTTCTTCTTAACCGATAGTTCTTTTTGGTTTGGCCACCTGCTGTTTTCTAAGTATTTACCAGTCAACTTCCTGGTTCGCTTCCTCCATTTTGTATCGACATTCTTCAAGTACAAGTAGCTGAAAACCTTTCTAGCCCAACGCTCTTCCCCCATTTCTCTCAATCGCTTCTCAAATTTTATCTTGCTGCTAGCTTCCCTGCCCTCAAATGATGTCCATCCCATATCACCTTGTACTCCCTGATTTGGTGTATTCCCATGAGCTCCTAAAGCAAGCCTACCTATTCCACGTTGCCTAATTTCTAATCTTGCTTGAACTTCTGATCTCATGCACAAGACCGCATTGCCGAACATCAGCCCAGGAACCATGACCCCTTTCCATATTCCTCTCACAACATCACACCTTTTGTAATTCCACAGTGCCGTATTTTTCATCAATGCTGCATTCCTGTTACCTTTAGTCGTCACGTAAATTTCGTGTTCCCTCAGGTACTCGGTCCCATTGATTATCCATACGCCCAGATATTTGTATTGATCTGTTATCTCTAGCGTGACCTACTATATCCTAAGCTCACTACCTTCGTTGTCATTGAAAATAATGACTGCTGATTTTATCTTACTGAATCTAAAATCTAACCTATCTCCCTCATTACAGCAGATGTCCATCAATCTCTGCAAATCTTCCTTGTTGTTGGCCATTAGCACTATATCATCTGCGTACATTATTGCTGGTAGTGCCTGATCAATAAGTTGTGACGTGCGCTCAAAGCGCCATCTTGCTGGCAATGCTGAAACACGATATCCCCCCCTCTCCAAGATTCCCGACACCAGCGGTAAGTGGTAGATATAAATAGCTTGCCATTGTAACATTGACGACTGCTCTGCAGGGTAGTGCGATGCATTATATTCCCCATGGGTGTCACACAAACAACCCAACCAGCCCGATTTTGCTACTTCTGCACGGATTCTTGGATTTCTGGTTCATCTGGAACCGACAGATTCCAAACCTCAGCAACCACTTTTGGTAAGCATGCGATTGCTGCTTCATGTTGAAGAACGCGGTGTATGTTTATGCGTGTAATTCTACGTCACTTACGCAAAAGACGGTGGAAATGAGTGCCGGAGCTATATCCTTCGGTAAAAATTCACACCGAAAAAATGTGTACCAAATAGCAATTTTGTGGTAAATTCCCGCTTGAGTCTGCCCGCGGCGCTTTTGTTAGCTCTTCCCTTTTTTTGTAACTGAACTTTTCACTCCCAATAACAAGAATTCGGTCAAAAATGTGTGCGACGCTCATGACCATCTACGGTTATGAAAAAACCTCGATGCGGTGGTCTAGTGGCCAAGGTACTCGGTTGCTGACCTGCAGGTCGCGCGATGGAATCCCAGCTACGGTGGCTGCATTTTCGATGTAGGCGAAATCGCCGTAGGGCCATGTGCTCAGATTTGGATGAACGTTAGAGAACCCCAGGTGGTCGAAATTTACGAAGACCTATGGCGTCTGTCCTAATTATATGGTGGTTTTGAGACGTTAAAACCCACATAATTTATGAAACAACAATAGTGAATGAGTGTAGCTTCAAGCGAAAGTTAAGAAGTTCAGTGATTTTCGCGCTGATGAATCAAAATCACTGCCCCAAACAACAAAGTATGTTGCTTGCCTTATGTGACTTACGGCTCAAGATAAGCTTCGTAGCAGGAGTCACAAAGAAATCATGCTCACTGCCAAGAAAAAAAAACTAGACTTGGTTAAGTGCAACTTATTAGCACATCTAGTGTTCTTGAATCCATAATATCAACGCTTTGCTAGAGTATTCGTGTAATATATTCCTGCGGTGAGAACATACTCTTTTCGGCAACCAGGCGTCGCACTTCGATGCAGAAAGGAATAAATGGGGCAAATCGATGTCGTTACAACCCCTCACACCAGGAGAAAGCTCAGCGATTTTCAAAAATTTTAGTCTCATTAAAGTGACTGAAAACCACTACGATGGTTTCGATTTGTCAACTACGTGGCACATTCACACTACAAAACTGTAAGGTGAAGTCGGCGTCAAGCCCCCTCATTTTATTAAAATACTCTATATAGCGCATTTTTTTTTCTTTGATTAATTTACGTAGTCATTGATTTCACCTAATGTGTCTTGACTCAACAGTGTTGTGGTACCGGACTTGCGAGGATACGGCCTTACTACGAAGCCTACAAACTCAGCAGAATATCTAATGTTGAAGCTGGTGGAGGATGTCAAACAACTGATTAATTTTATAAGTGAGTGAGTACCTGATGTCAAGCTAAAAGACTTGCTTTGCTTATTTTGCACACATTTCAAATGAGAAATTGTTTACTTCATCGGTCGTTCTCGTACTTGAAGGTTATTCACAAACATAGGTCGGCAAAATTAGCTCGAGCTCAGTCGAGCTTCCACGTGAAATGTGTACTCTTATTGCGATTAGAACTGACTCGAACTCACACTCACCAAAGAATTACTCATCCGGACTCACTCAGGCTCTGAGTGAGTCTACTCATGAGGAAGTTTGGCGAGCTACGATCACAAATAATTTCTTCTGATAAAGTTAAGATGCGTGTTATAAATTTAATGATTTTGCAGACAAATTGTATAGATAACGTTAAACTTGCAGCCCAAACAAAACGAGGTGAGAGCGAAAAAAGAAAGGACAGAGCGCCATGCTTTGAACAATTTGTTTTTGTATATAGGACTCAGGTGTATTTCAAACCAGAAATACCTCCTTGTGGCGCAGGCATATTTCAAAATATATTTATACATTGCGTAAAGTGCTGAAAATAAACAACACTTGAGGGGCCAGTGGCCTATAGTTTTGCACTTCAAATATTTCGTTAAGCGTAAATGCGTTCGTTGAAATGGAAGGCACATAGATGTAGCTAAACAGTAGCGTGCTGTGCGAGGTCGGTAAGGTGCCAAAATTTTCAGCATCATAAGTTACGCTTTGTAGATGGTCAGAGTAGCGGAGTGGGAGAGGCCAGCTTTCAGACTAATGGCAGATTGCGGAGTGTACCTGGCACTTTTATATGTAAATGTCAAAACCTAGTTAATCCTATAGTGATGCGATGAGAAACACCATGGCATAGGATAGGAACCATTCATTGATGTTTTCGAATTGCAACAAGCTAGTGAGCTGAAGCAACCAAATTCGAGTAGAACACCTATGTACCCTTAAAGCACATGGCTGAAGGCCAGAAAACGCGCCCTAGGTAATTACTGTTTGACTTTCGCATAAAGTCACTAACACAAGTCGATTTTGTTGGGAAGAACTACCCAGAAATTGCGAAATGCAGAATGTGATAGAATCGCAACAAAGCAATGAAAATAATCGAGGTTCGGTAGCTTAATATCACTCTTCCTTGCTAACCTAATTTCAGTTGAAAGGAAGATTATGCGCAGTGGGCTTGCTTCTTAAAACGCTAAAGCTCGGTTGTCACTGAAAGGGATGATCGAGTATGGGGATTTTTCTGACACTGTACTCTGCGATATTTATAAATACTATTAACGCCCAGACAAGTTCTATAGTTTCTTGCTGTATGTTTTCTTTTCGATGTTGACCGCAGTTTTTGTATTTATGTTCTCTGATTCACTTCTCTTCCGAAACACCGATCAATTGCATAGGTATTAGAACGGGCTGTTGAAGAATGGTGGCCGATATGAACTTCCATTTAGGCAAATGCCTCGAGCAATATTTTGTTAGGACACATTCTAAAAGTGTTTGTCTTTAATACCTTCACTTTTCTGAGTGAATGCACCTGCCAACAAGAAAAAAATCAGCTGTCGTATTTGAATAACCATGTCCTGAAGAAATCTCATAAGACCTCTTCAGAAAGACAGTTCTGAGAACTTCACATAATATAGACATGTATTCAATTCGTTTCCAATGCAGATCCTCCATCAAAGAACAGGCAACTTGTGCTAGTTGGGCACGACTGGGGTGCTATGATTGGATTCTGCTTGGCCACATTGCATGAGAGTTTAATCAGCCGAATGATTATCATCAACGAAATGCACCCAAAGGCTTTCTCGAAGCAGCTGCTGCGGAGCCCAAGGCAAATGAGGATGTCTTGGTAAGTAGTCCCCCTCTTGCGGAAAAAAACTATTTCACACATTAGGCCCGTGTGACGAGCAGAACGCAATCCAAAGAAACTGAATATTTTGTCAAGGCACACCTTCGAATGCCTTAAAACGCCAGGCCTGCGCGGAAGGCGTAGCAGCCACAGCGAAAGCTGGAAGAGCGGCCTTTCAGAGCCTCTCAAAGCACTCATTAGGCAGCTACTGCAAGCACCCTCACTTGATACTCACTGGGGCTCTTTTAAAAAAAACATTTGTGTAGCAGGCTGGCGTTCGCTAAGCTATTTTTCGTCGTTCTTCTGAGAAGCGTCGTATCCACAAAACATTTGCAAGGAATCTTGCGCTAATTTTTTTATGCAGTGGCTGACGACAATGAGGATATATGACGGAAGTGGGTATGCTCCACAGCTATTAGGGGAACAAGAACAAGCTTTCCTAATGAGTTGTAGCATCGGACGACCCACTCGTTACGCTATTCGCATTGTACGACGACTGGTTGTTCTTTCGATGTTTTAAAACGCTTTATAAGTCGTATTAACGCGATTGCTTTCCCGACATCAAGCCAGTCAGGCAAGTTTGCAAACTAGCCTCAAGCAGTGATGTAGCTTTTTTTTAGACTGTCCCAAAAATAAAAAAACGTCACAGCAATGAATAAAACAACGCTCTATAGTCTTAGGTTGATTGCAGAGTCTACAATTCACTGTGCAGGGTACGTATATTGATTTTTCGGTCAGCCACAATTTCACTAGCAGCGTGGAAGTGTGCAGTTTAAAGAAAAATGTTTTCGCTGAAGGAAATATCCACATCCTACGTACGCGAAATATTACATCGTGGCCAGGCAAAAGCGAATATGGCTTTAGATAAACAGGTTCGGGGAAAAGGTTATTCACAAGTGCAGCGGTTAAATTTGTTCTGTCAATAGCATAAAAGTACCCTAAGCTAAACCTGGCTTTCGAAAAATTGGCAGTACCAACAATTGATTTTAGGAATCCCCGCAACGGCAATTCCTTAGCAACGCTTGTGGTGACATGAACAAAAGGAAGGTGGTAACTTAGACGGTTACGAGGAACCGCTAAAAGGAAGAAGTGGCACACATACTTGAGGTGAAAAAATCGCAACACCAACTGTCGCATGAACAAATGCAGTAGGCTGAGGCCACCCTTTTCAAGCGGAAGAAAAGATTGTCTCTTCTCCTAGGTTCCCAAGAAGAGCTCCAAATAAAGCACGAAAATATCCTATGAAAGGCTAGAATGTGCACACGAGAGTAGTGCTAACCCTGGAAAATACAAATAAGCTTTGATGCAAGGAATATATTGCACGCTTTCGCTCTGGCAAAATGGGAAGCTCACGTCTGTGCCATGTTGCCACCTTTCGGCGGATCGTAGTTATTGCAGCGGTCCAGTGTGGGCCGCCGTAACGATAGTTATTAAGAGGCACATCAAGGTGCTTCAAAGGAGTCGCATTCCAATGGATATTTGCGAAGACTGAAGGAGTTTGGGCCCACATGCCTATCCGTAATTCAGTACTTTTATCAAAATTTTTGCTGGCGCCAGTGACTTCACTGAAACGTAGTAATGAGTGTTTCTTGAACGCTGAGTTTATGAGCGCGAAAGTAGGCAATGTCATCTGCGTAAGCTAGAACATTAACTTCCTCAGCTTCATATCGGTAGCCTCTTATGCTAGACTTTAGAAGCACACTTAAACAGAATGGTTCATGATAAATTGCAAAAAGCAAAGGTGAGAGCAGACATCCCTGACACAGAGATGAATTCAACTGTATTGTATTGGAAAGCGTGTGATTTACAATTAACCTAGTTGTGCACTTCTCATAACAGAGATAAATATAATTATACAGTAAATCAGTCAACTGCAGGTGTTTTAGGAGCCGGAACAAAAAAGCACACCGTACCTTATCAAACGCTTTTGCAAAGTCTATTTGAAGGAGGGCAACTTGGTTCATGCACTCAAGAACTGAATGTGCAATTTGAATGTTTATCTGTACAGAACGACCACGAATTTTACATGTTTGGTGGACACCTACACATTTAGTATTTACTGTCTGTAGTCGATGTGTCAACAATTTAGCAAATATTTTGTAGTTGACGTTACATAGTGATATAGGTCGACACTCGTTAACTGTATTTATGCCTCAGGATCAGCACTTTGTGGAATAATGTTGTATGGCCCTGATAAAAAGTACGAGGAAGTTCACCACGTTCATAAGCCTCTTTGAAACGTTGCTCAAAGAAAGGTATTAGAAGTTCCTGAAAAGCTATGTATATTGGCCACTTAGGCCATCTGGGCCAGGAACTGAGTTATTCTGCTACGTTGTTATTGCTAATATATTTCCTCTCTGGTTATGGGCCCATCTACAGTGAGTCTATCATCATCTTGTAACTGAGGCACATGGGCATTGAAATGGTCAGCTTCTTCCTACCAATTCTCCTGAAGCTCAGCCGCGGTGAACAAAGTTTTGTAATAATCTTGAAATGCGGCTCTTATTTTGCATGCCTCTGTGCAAAGAAAACCTCGAGACTCAATTTGCAGTATCTGTTTAGAAAGTACATATCTCTTTTCATCCCCGAAAAATTTTTCTGTGGTTTCCTCTTCAGTGAAATGGGTAACAAAAGAACGAATCTTTGCTCCTTTGTGTAAATCTGCATAATGTTTTTGTATCTCTGCTCGAATGACATTTATCTCGTGCACGTACGATCCCGGGTGTTGACTTTCAAAAGTATGGAGCTTGTGGAGTAAATCATAAAGATAGCGTTCCTAAGCTTTTTTATTCTTTGTGCTATTTCACATGAAATACTCATTGTCTGGTACTTAACTCGTTCTTTGAACCTTTCCCGTTGAGCGAAAATTGGCAGCTGTCGGCGCTTTGTTACCTCTTGTACCGATTCTCTTACTATTTTAACAAAACAATCTTCGCGCAACTACTGTACGTTAAGCTTCCATAGGCCCTAGTTTAGAAGGGTTTTACGAAAATTTTCAGGACGCCAAGAAACACTGACCAAGACATGGTTTGTAAAAAATAAGGGCTTTACAGCATAATTATAAATGTTAGGCCATACGCTTAGAGATACATATACACAATCTTGCCGAGCATGAGAGATGCCTTGAAAGAGCGTGAACCTCACCGAGGAAAGTGCATGCGCTCACATCTATTAAATTGTGGTCATTAAATAATTTCTACAGTAAAGTTGCACTTGCAACATATTTATTTGTTATATATGAGTAATTTCTCGCGTTACAAACACAATTAATGTCTCCAAAAACTATAAATGTTCTGTCAGTGTTACGCAGCGAAGTTAAAGAGAGGAAAAAAGCATTCCTGCCATTCACTTTGGAGAGAGCACAGACACAGATAAACCACCAATTATGGGATATGTTGCGAGAAATGAGGCGTCCTTCCCCATGAACTTGTAGCGACGTCAAAGCATGATCGAAGTGCTTTCTAACTAATAAAAAGCATCCAGCGGATGCACCACGTGCTGGGCTGATGTATAAATTGTAATTTCGGAAAACTTCCAGTGCAAGATCGGTGTCACGAGCAGCCGAAATTTTAGTCGTTTGCACTGCAACTACATCAATGTTGTACTGTTCAAGCACATGGTGCAACTGCCACTGATGCCTTACATTCCTCAAGCCACGTACGTGGAGCGTCGCTTCACACATGGGAAACGTTAGCGCGGTATCCATTTGTCTATCTTAAACTTTCGTAGGTCACCTCTAGCTACCGGAAAACCTGTGGCTTTACCTCCTTTGCACTTTTTAGGAGCATTTTCTTGAGGACGCTGGTATAGGCGGCGCGTCCCTCGGTCCCCAAAGAAGGTGACACGTGGACCCCATGAAGACACTTGCTCTGTCGTGTCTGGCGCACTCGTTGTTACTTCATCGGTGACCGGTGCCTGACACTTCCTTGTATGACTGCTTTCCATTGCTTCTTGTTCCTCGTTGTCAGGAGGCTTGTCCTCAAGGTCTTCCAAGTGGTGTTATTCTGCAGCATTGAATTCATTTATGTCATCTCTGGTGACGTTAGCGATGTTATTGTGCGTGCCGAGGGTATCCATGCACAAGTGTTCAGCTTCCTTTATGGCACCTTCTGCTTCTCCCGCTGCTTCTCCTGTCGCATGAACTACCTAGGTGGCATCCATAAGATGATCCAGATGTTGCTCTTCTGTGCCTTGGCCAGAACGGAGTTTGTTGGCATAAGTCGACACGCAGGCAACCGACGAGTGACCAAATCGATGGCACTGCCAGCACCTCGGTGTTTTGCACTGTCGACGGACATGCCCCACTCGCTTGCACCGAAGACACAGTGGAGGCCTACCGGGAATAAGTACAAGACATTGGTGGCCATAGATTGACATAGATTGTGGCATTGAGCTCACAGTGATGGTGTCCTTGAGCTCCAAGGCAACGTTTCTATTTGTTGTCATCCAATGTTCCATTGCTGCACGCCTCCATGGCTCTCTTTCAACGGACTTCACAACGCCGTAAGCTTGGAACGCCTCTTCAACACGTTGCGATCCAAGATAAGGTGGAAGCCTAAGAAGTTTCAAACTAATATTCTTGGTCTCCGGAAGCACCATGCACTTCAGCCCTTTTACACGGAGCTCACCACAAGTGACGAGTTTCTGTTTCAGCCATGCTGCTTGCACACATGACCATCCATACATTGCACATTTGATACTGGACACATGTGATACAGGCCAACTCCTATGATGTCCGCTGTGCTCACCACTTTAGGCAGCGCGTCACGGAAGTGTGGGGCACGGTAGTGCCTACCACTCAAGTCGACATGGAGAAAAACTGAATGCAAAACGTCGTTACTGGTTGGAAGGCGCGGCAGGACGACTTTGTAGCTTGATTCTTTATCACAAAACGGAGTCAATTATCCTCGGCCATTGGCCGATACGCTGTTCCCATCAGAGAGTATTTTCGAACACAGCCGATCAGTGCGGATTCTTTTTTCAATCAGAACTTCCAATCA